ACGATAGCATATGTTGACATAACAGACATAAAATTTTATTCAAGACGAATATTTCGGACACGCCTGTGTCCTTCAGCGTCAACACGTATGTATGAGAAATAGGATTAAAAAAAATGTAAAAAATTAACCAAATAAATCCTAAGATAGGCACGCAATAATTAAGAGGTGATTAACCAATAAACTCTCAGTAAAACCTGAAAGTGTTGGCGGTAAAACGGCCTATGACAGACAACAGAAGGTAAATAAACAAATTGTCGGTAATCTAAGCATACACACTGTAATCGTTTAATGACAAAATGTCTATATAAATGATCATAATTAAAATATATTGTTATTATTATTAATATCAATATTATTATTATATTATTGTATTATTATTATTATTATTATTATTATTATTATTATTATATTTGATCATTATATTTGATCATTCTTTTAATTGTTTTACTGTATTTTAATACATAATAAATGAATTTCCGACTTGGAGCAATAAAGTGTATCTTATCTTATCTTATCTTATCTTATTATTATTATTGTTATTATTATTATCGAAACGTCGAGACATTCTTAACCAACAACAACAGTTCTTTTTAGAACTATCTACGTGGTGTACCGCAAGCATTAATATATTATTATTATTATTATTATTATTATTATTATTATTATTATTATTATTATTATTATTATTATTATTATTATTGTTATTATTATTATTATTATTATTATTATTATTATTATTATTAACATTATTATTATTAGACCATATATATATATCTTATTTTTTATATCGGATCGATGTAGTCAATGATGTTCCACAGGAAATTTAATAACATGGCTTGGGTCAGTCCTGATTGACGTGGTACACTGATTATGAGTACAAGAGTGCACAAACCCAAAATGAGTGTGATACAGTGGTCAAACATATAGGAATGATACTATAAATTATATTCAAACATAATTGATCAACGAAAGTCCTTATTATGATTGTATGAAGGAATTAAAAAAAAAATATTACTTTGACAGCTTAGGTAGCATTTGGTAACATAGGAAATTATTTTCCAATCAAGTTGCTTTTCAACACTGGGAACACACATAATGTATAAATCAAATAGATAAGAAAAATACATTGTTTAAATATATAGGAACATGATTTTATATATTGTATCAAACATAGTTCATCAACGAAAGTTTCTTATTATAGTTGTATGATATAAGAGGGCTTACACATCAGGCCTGTCGGAAGCAATTTGTACTGGTCCGACCAGATGGGACGATCCCAATCCCTTCTACTCAAATTACCTTGTGGTGGCGGCGGTCGGAGTGGGGGAGTAGGGAGGGGATTCAGTTCCCCAAAATGGAAAACCTTTTCAAAAATCCCTTACAGGGCATCGTATTCTTGTCAGTATTACGCAAGAAAACATTTCATTTACATTAGCTACCCACTTAAAAGGGGCCCAGACAAGCTTAGAAATCATGCAGAAAAATACATTATTGCAAGGTTTCTTTATTGTCAATAGGCTATTAGTATTATGTATGATAATGTATGATAATGTTAAAGCTAAGGTTAGAGTGGGAAATGATCTTACAGATCAATTTTGTATTGAAAAGGGTGTTAAACAGGGGTGTGTATTATCCCCAATACTATTTTCTATTTTTATAAATGAATTTGTAAAAATTATTCGGGACAATGGTATGGGGGTTAGAATGAATGGCTTATGGATGGGAGGCCTCTTTTGGGCCGATGACATTGTTTTATTAGGAAATAACGAACATGAAATGATAAAAATGTTACATATTGCAGGGAAGTATGCAAAGGAGTGGAAGCTAAGTTTTAACTATGAAAAATCTAATGTGATGATCGCTGGAAAGCGCATTAACCGAGAAAAACAATGGAAAATTGGTGAAAAATTCATAAAAGAGGTAGATTGCTATAAATATTTGGGAGTGATAATTTCTTCAAATCAAAAGGAACATAATCACTACCAACATGTCATTCAAAAAGGAAACCGTTTAATTTAGTATATCAAATGTGTTGCAAATTGGAAACCTTGATAATTTTAATAGGGTCTATTACGGCAGTATTCTATGGA